AAGCAGTTCCTGAACCGTCAGCTGGATGTGGTAGGAAAGAAATGAAGTGGCTGCAGTGCCATGCCCTCTTTTGCAGATGTGGCACAGCTCTGACCTTGTCCCTGTGGGTCCCGCGCTTCCAGGCGGTTTATGCTAGCCTCAGAGGCTCACTGCGACCATCCACGTAGCCCTTCTCTCTCTAGGGCCAGGGTTACAGTCTACTGAGCCCTTTTCATCACAAGCCAGCAAGGAGGTGGGTGAGAGAATTCCCACAGTCTCTGTTGTCCCTATGGGCTTATTCCCAAACAGTTTAGCCTCCTGTCCTGATAGGGGCCTGTCTTCCCCTCCTAGGAGGTGTTTCTGTAGTGGCAGGTTGGGGGGAACCCAGGCCCGCCCTCTGCTCTGGGTTCAGGCCCAGGGACCCTAATGGCAGCAGCTGTTGGCAGCCGACCTTTCACTGCCAGAGTTGCTACATTTCCCTGGGCCACTTCCCCACAGCAATCCCTGCTTCTCTCTTGTAATGCCTTCTTCATCCTTACCTTAGGGCTACCTTTCCAGTGGCTTAAGGTTGTCTTCATTACCCAGCCCTTCAGCCACATTTCCTCTCCTCTGGCTCCCCTCAGCCTGACCAGAGTGAGCCCTTTTATAGTATCAGAGGGGCTTTAATTAGAGTCAGGTGTTCACATTAGCTTAGCGGCCTCACCTGACGCTTTGCAGGTTAATTGGAGTCAGGTGTTCTCATTAGCCTGGAGCAGTCCCTGCTCTGGTCAGTCAGGGAACAGAAAACTGCTTATCCAGTGGCCAGTATATCTGCCTTCTACCTCTCTGCTGAACCCAACTGTCCTGGGTCTATCACACAGACCTGAAGACCTCTTTGGAGACCACCTGTGCCATTTCTGCAACAATTGGAAATCAATAACCTCAGACAGGTGGATCTTGCAGATATTACACAGCAGATATGCCATAGAATTGGAGACCCTCTTATAGCCTCACCCTTAGAATGTTCACGCATGGCAAGGGGAGAGGCGGGAGACGTGTGTGATTGCTCCACCAGGCATTGCTAGTTAATTCCACTATCTAAGCTGCACCCGGCTGGCGCATCCTATGTGTGGTCATATGCAGAGGACACTCAAAGAGGAACTTACTTATGTCTATTCTTATACCTGCTCTCATCAGATGTCACGCAGGCTGAGGTGTGACTGAAAGCAAGGGCTGCCCTTTAACCTGCTCACCCACTATTGTGCCCTTTCCTCTCCCTTATGAGCTTATCCTTCCATTTCCCCTCACTGAAACTAGTTAGCAGAAATTCTTACTAGCATTTATACTGCTTTTGTGGTTCTCCTTTCATTTTACTGCCCTTTTGGAATGAGGTTCTCTTCTTCCTGTCTGTTGCAGAATCACTCTGCCTAGCCAACCCCCTCTATACACACAGTTCCCCTCTATAAAGTGTTTTTCTCTCTTTTCTCTAATTTCTTTTTCTTTCTCTTTCTCTTTCATTTTCTTTCATTCTCTGTTTTCTTTCATTCTTTCTCTTTCTTTTTCGTTCTTTCTTCCAACACTGTACTGTGTACTCAGTATAAAAATAAGTTGCATAGCTAAACTCAGGGCTGGTATCAGCAGGCTCTATTAAGGGTGCTATTATCAGCCTCCCACTGGCTATGAGGAGAGCGAAGCTTTGGCTGAATCAGAGGCCTCTTTCCCTTTCTCCCCCAAACCTTTATAGGCATAGGCTGTGGTTATATACAACCCCTATTACTGACAATGGGAATCCATTTCATGGCCCATTTTGTGTATTGTACTGCCATCATGTGGTCATGTGTAGTTAATCGCTCTCATCTGCACCATCACTTCTTTTTTTTTTTAGTTTATTACACGCCGTTTCTGTCCTTTGGACAACAGGAATTTGTTGGTCTTTGAACATTTAAATTGCTTTTCTAGGAAAAGAATGCAATGACCAAGGAAGTTTTTAAATGAGCTCAGGACTTTTGCAGAGGTATTTATGCAGTGGAGAAAGGATGAATTAAATAGCAACAAGCCTATTAAAAAAAGGGGGGTGGGGTGGGATTCATTCATCTTGGGTTCCACAGCAACTCCGTTTTTTATCATGGTCAGAATTCTTTGTCCAGGGGAAGCAAAGCTTAGACGGCTTCTAACAGAGGAATGGGGCTCTGTTGTTGCTACAGAGGTTTCTCAGTATGTAGTCTTGGTAGAATTCTATTTTTATTTTTTTATATATAATTTCAACAGATATGTTTATTTTTAAGCATTTTGTTTTTATTTTTATCTATTTAAATGTTTACATTTGCAGGAAATTATGGGTGTGGGAGTCAGACAATAATTATTTAATGACAGTAGATGTTGATATTAAAAATGTTAAAGCTTTATAACCATTAACACACAAATCATCAACATCATATGTAAAAATATACAAAGTAATTAGCCTTCAATCAAACATTTAATCCTCAAGTAGCATTTTTCTTTCTTTGCCTATCTGTACATTTCAGTTATTAATGTAAATATTTTTTGGGCTGTGTGTGTACAATGAAATTGATGTTTGTTGACATGTACTGTTCGATAGGCTTGGAAAGATTTAAATTTCTTTGTGCCTCTTTCACTCTGTCTTCCTCTGTGGGTCTGTTATTCCCCCCCCCTTTTTTTTTTGTTTGTCTCTATTTTACCATCTTCGCCTCATTGTGTGAATTCCTCTGTGTCTGCCTTTCCTTGTATATGCAAATATGTATATATGTGTAATATAAGTATTACTAATTACTGTGTATTATTGTTATTGTGGCAGCAATATAGAGGCCTCAGCCAGCTCAGAGGCCCCATTGTGCTAGGCACTGTAAAACATACAGTAACAGTTCTTGCCCAGCTTACATGTCATTCTGTCTATTTCTGTCTCACTTTTTCTATGTGGCTCTGTCTCGGGTCTGTCCCTAACACTTTATCCACTGAATGAAACTGCATGCGCATGGTTCCAATTTCATATTTCACAGTTTCAATCACTTAACAGCACTTGGCATCCAAGGAAAGGCAAGCTACTGCAGGCATACGGGACTGCAAGGAAAGAGACACATGGTGGAGAGTGAGTAGGTGACAAACAGAGGATTACAAGAAGTGCAGGTAATGAGAAAGAGAGTGGGAGAAAATGAGATCTACTTTGCTTTTGATTTGGAAATATGGTGCACAGAAGCCACTATCCAGCAAGGAGATGAAACAGAAATGCTGCCTACAGCACGTTAACAAGCCAATATACAGGGAGTCATAACATAAGAATGGCCATACTGGGTCAGACGAAAGGTCCATCTAGCCCAGCATCCTGTCTTCCGACAGTGGCCAATGCCAGGTGCCCCAGAGGGAATGAACAGAACAGGTAATCATCAAGTAATCCATCCCGTCGCCCACTCCCAGCTTCTGGCAAACAAAGGCGAGGGACACTATCTCTGTCCATCCTGCCTAATAGCCATTGATGGACCTATCCTCCATGAACTTATCTAGTTCTTTTTTGAACCCGTTATCGTCTGGGCCTTCACAACAACCTTTGGCAAAGAGCTCCACAGGTTGACTGTGTGTTTGAAAAAAATACTTCCTTTTGTTTGTTTTAAACTTGCTGCCTATTAATTTAATTTAGTGACACCTAATTCTTGTGTTTATGAGAAGTAAATAACACTTGCTTATTTACTTTCTCCACACCAGTCATGATTTTATAGACCTCTATCATATCCCCCCTTAGTTGTCTCTTTTCCAAGCTGAAAAATCCCAGTATTATTAATCGCTCCTCATGTGGAAGCCATTCCATACCCAAAATGATTTTTATTGCCCTCTTCTGAACCTTTGCCAATTCCAATATATCTTTGTTGAGATGGGGCGACCACTTCTTCACACGGTATTCAAGATGTGGGCATACCATGGATTCATATAGAGGCAATATGATATTTTCTGTCTTATTATCTATCCCTTTCTTAATAATTCCCAACATTCTGTTTGCTTTTTTGACTGCTGCTGCACATTGAGTGGATGTTTTCAGAGAACTATCCACAATGACTCCAAAATCTCTTTCTTGAGTGGTAACAGCTAATTTAGACCCCATCATTTTATATGTATAGTTGGGATTATGTTTTTCAATGTGCATTACTTTGCATTTATCAACATTGAATTTCATCTGCCATTTTAGAAAAGGAGTACTTGTGGCACCTTAGAGACTAACAAATTTGCCCAGTTACCCAGTTTTGTGAGATCCTTTTGTAGCTCTTCACAGTTTGCTTGGGACTTAACTATTTTGAGTAGTTTTGTATCATCTGCAAATTTTGCCACCTCACTGTTTACCCCTTTTATCAGATCCCCTGGCGGGCTCCACTATTTACCTCTCTCCATTCTGAAAACTGACCATTTAGGAAACAAACAGTAGGAATATCTTTTAGCCAGTTACCAATCCATAAGAGGACCTTCCCTCTATCCCATGATAGCTTTGATAACATCAATGTTTCTGAAGTGTAGAAGAAAGAGAAATAAAACTAATCAGAAGCCTCCCCAATTTCACCCTCCAGGAAAATACCCTTGTTGCTGTATGTTTGGCTGCATCTGAGTGGATACCTCCCTCTGACCTTACTGTTTCTGTAACACCCTTTGGAATCTTTTTCTCTCTATCTGTTGCTTTATTCAGTACAGCTCTCTCATTCTCTTTCTTTCTCTATCGGTCTCTCTCAGCTCTTTGTCCTCCTTTTCTTTCTTCCTTACCTTGCAAGCTCTTCAAGAAGGAGCTCTCTTTGCACTGTTTATTGTATTGCACAAGTGCATTGTTAGCACTAAGCAAAGCGATTAAAAATGCAGTCTCTATTCTTTGCTTAGCCTCTCTCTGCTTGTCTATATTCATCTGTCGTTCTGGTGGACAGTTAGCGCAAGCAAAGAAAGAAGGGAGAAAGGCAGTAGGAGAAAATGGTATTTTAAAAAATGACAGCCCTCGAGCCCCGCCCCCTAGTGATGGAGGGACTGAGTAGTTGTAGTACGCTGAAGAAACCTACTTGAACTTAGTAGCCTCCTGGAGTGAGGTGTATTGAAGGTGATCCTGGATATCCATGTCAGCATTCTGAGGCAGGAGAAATTTCACTATGTCCACGTTCCCAGGTGCGGCTGCTATGTGCAAGGGTGTTCTGCTGTAGTGCAATGGTTAATGTCAGTCTGGAGAAGAAAATTGAAAACGGCCCTTCATAATAGCAAAGCATTTCTGTGTCTGTGAGCTGATTCCCCAGTGTGCTCTGAGTAAACACACCCTGCAGGTGGGAATTAGTTTCTTTGTCATCGTTCATAAAAATGTTGACACTTTAAAAACCATTCATTTAGATGCCCAAGTTAATATAAAATGGGTGCTCCTGGGAACATCAACTAAACAATCTGGACCTGATTCTCCACTGTCTTGCCCCTAGTGAAGTCAGTTACATCAGTGCAAAATGCTACCAGATCAGAATGGTGGCACTATACACCCTTGCTGCCCTCAGTTTGCACAGGTGTAAGTGACTGCACAAGGGGCAGTGGAGAAACAGGCCTTTTGAATGTGCTCCGTCAGGCCTGAGCCATGTTCAGCACATCAGTTCCAACAATCCGCTGTGCCAGATCACTCAGGCACACATATTGGCCTGAAAAACAGTATGGTTCCACTGAATTAAAAAAAGACAGATTCATGCACATGGTATTGATGGGCAACATCTGTCTCAGTGCCTACAGCAGTCTGGGTGGCGACATGTCAGAAGGAATAGACATAGGACTGAGCTCTCATTTCACCCCAGGAGAGAGTGGTCACTCCTGGGCACGGCTCCAGAGCTAATGGAGGAGACGTGAATATGAGCAGAAGGTGATAGAGTTGTTAGGACCCTTGTGAGAAGTGAAATGGAATCTTTTACTTGGGTGAGGATTTCCTGCAGTGCCGGAGAAGTCTGGCGTCCAGTGCTGCACAGGCCAGAGAGGGTAGCATGTTGTCTAGTAAGTCCTTCCTCTCCTCATATCAAACATATACATGACATATGAAAAATACATTAGAAGACTGTAAAGGTTACATAAAGTCAAGCCGTCATAAGTTGGATGATGCCAAAAATAAGGCTGCCTGTGCTATCTCATGCATATGCATGACCAGAGGCATCCCGTGGGTATGGGAAATCAGGGCGACCACTCTAGAGGGGCCCGTGCTTTGGGGGGCGCCGTGCTTCAGCTACACTTGGAGGCTGGAGCTGTGGATATGTGTGTGGGGGGGGGGTAGGAGCGGAGTCTTCTCCTTATGCTATTCAGCTGTGTTTGTTACTAGACAAGCCGATCGCGGCGCTCCCATTTTCAAGGGGGATTCGCTTTTCCCAATCCCGTCTCCTCCCGGCGTGACTTGCTCGCTGGAGGTGCGGGGGAAAGGGCAGTTACTGTGCTGCGGTTTGCTTGGGCGCAGAGGGGGGTTTCCCGGGAGGTGGTGATGGGGCTGCTGCCCAGGCTCCTCAAGAACAGGAGAGAATCGCTCAGCGGCTCTCTGCTTGGGGGCTGGCAGTGCGGACTCTGCTCGGTGGGGGTAGCACAGGGAAAGTGCTTGCAATGGGTAGTGGTGGGAGGAGGGGAGACTGCTTTCCCCATTGCTCCCCATCATGCCCTGGGGGCCGATCGATTTCAGCAGGTTTGAAACAAGTTTGTTTTTTTGCATGAAGGCTGAAGGTGCGGGGTTGAGCATTGCAATAGCCACTCACCTCTCCCTTGGCTGCTGCCTGGGATCTCAGGAGGAGGGAACAGACCTCGCTTTGCCTCTGCAGTTAATGATTAGTTCAGCCTTTATAGGGCAGCCCCAAGAGGGTTGCTGGGTTCTTGGACTGTTTCCAGCCCCAGTGCATTGGTTTGCAAATGGGACTGAATTTCCATTTGCCAACCTAAAGGAACTAAAAGGCTAAAACAAATATAAAATGACCGTGTTTCCAGTTGCTGCTTGCTGGTAAATCTAGGCATGGAGAGATCAAACCTGCCCTGGTTTGGGGACTGGTAAATATGGTTTTCCCACCTCTAACTTCTATGATTTAGAGACAGTTTAACCTCTTTTGCAACATCTTGAAACCTCCTGGATTATTTACAGGGGCAAAAAACCCAAACCCTCAAGTCGCTAAAGAGATGTATCGTGTGCCTTGTATTTTATTCTTGATGGCTTTGTGCCCTTGCTTTGTTGTTTGGAGGATTAAGGTGTGACGATTGTCCTCAGTCCCAGATCCAATTAAAATAAATGAAAGTAAGTGGGACATAAAAGAAAGAAAAACACGGCACTCTGATAGTGCTACTGAGCAGCAAGCTTACTTTGTTACAGAGAAAATGCTCCAGGAAATGAGTACTTTCCCTCTATGTTCTCCTTTTCTTTCCCTCTGCATCGCTGTCAGACTCAGCGAGGAGCATCATTTGCTCAGTGTTTATCAAAAATCTAACTAGCCTTTGTCCAGTAGAAAATGTATTCTTCACCTGTATAAAAAATGTTAAGAGGGGCCTATCCTGGCTGATTTGTCCCGGGCCCCCCACCCCACTAGGGGACAGCCCTTTGCATGCTGGTTCAGCCTTTAGGTATGTCTACACTGCAGTCGGTGCATGTAGACATACCTGATCTAGCTTTGATCTGGATGAAAGCTAGCATGAGTAATAATAGCAGTGAAGCCATGGCAACACAGGCAATGGCATGGGCTAGCCCTGCCTTTCCAGGACCCAGGGTACATACTCGAGAGGCTTCACTTTTGTTACTTGAACTATCTTTGACTAGATCAAAGCTCGCTCAGTTATGTCTACCTGGGCTGCAGTCGCACCTACTGATTACAATGTAGACGTACCCTTAAATTTCACAATCACACACTATTTTTTTTTCATTGAACCCCTGCCTGATTCAGTACACAGGGTGGATGATGCTCACTGCATAGTGGCTATTCAGTAATTCATTTTATCCTTATCCTTCTGTGTATGACTCCAGGCCTTATTTACTGCCAGCTATTAAAACTGTGACCTGAAAACAGACTTATTGTTGTTTTCCCCTTGTGCCTTTGATGTTGTTCATCACTATCATATCTGAGTGTTTCACACACATTCCTGAATTTATTTTCACAACATCCCTGTGAGATGAAGAGGTGGTGTTATCCCCATTTTACAGACAGGGAACCAAGGAACATCAAATATCAAAATATATCAAAAGTGTGAGCTGATTTTGGGTGCCCATGTTGAGATACTCCGATTTTTCAGAGAACTTAGCATTTATAACACTTTTTTTTTGTTTCAAGCACAGCACAGCACCCATTAACTTCAGTTGCAGCTGTAAGTGCTCAGCATTTCTGCACGTCAGACCCCAGCGCCTCAAATTGGTCATCCAACAAAATGAAGACTACACAGTGAAAAGTTTGGCTTAACTGACTTGCCCAGCGTGACACAGGAATTATGTAGCAGAAGCCGGGGTAGAATCCAGTTCTTCAGGGTGGTTCAGCTGCCTTAACCACGAGACCACTCTCTTCCTGTAACACCCTGTCTCATTCACTACACATCTTCCATCTTCTGCAACAAATGAGGCAGGCATCTTAGAGAAAACGTCCTCATTCAGTACACAAGCCTGAATCATTCTCTGAATGCACAGGCAACCTTAATTCTGGCATTTCCTAACATATTTGCATGCTTGATTTTGCAACTTTAACTTTTTTTAATATAGGTTTTTTGTATGTAATGTCTTAGGTTTTTAAAAAAGCGAACTGAAAAAAACAAGTGCCATGAAGTAGAACTATATTGACACCCACATGGGTTATCAGCAGGATTAAAATGTTTAGATCCACTGCACGGACCTCTGTCACTTGAACTAACAGAGTAATTCTTAGCAATATTAGGTCGTCATGCTCTGTATGGGCCAGCTGCTAGAGGGAGATGAGGCACACATTTTGCCATGGGATTTCACAGCTCTTTTCTGTCAGTAAAAGAATGTTGAGACTCAGAAAACCTGGGTTCTGTTCCAGGTTCTGAGAGGAATGTGCTGTAGTGTGGTCACAGACCCTTCTGCCCCTGTTCTCTTCAAGCCCTGACCCCTTCTGCCCCGGCCAGTTATCGTGTCCTCATTCCAGTCCCAGGACCCTCACTGCACCCCGACCCCATCACCACAGGCATCTGCCGTGTAGAATTTAAGCATGAGTGGTTAAAGTTTGTCCAAGTTCTAAGCAACTGAACACACGGTCTTACGATGAAAATGTCAGGCAACCTTAACTACAGGCAGCTCTACTTGTGCTGTCTACAATATATGCTCAATAAAAGAGGAACTGGGGGTTTCTAGATGCTACACTACTTCCTTCCCTTCATGCTGGGGCTGCCCAAGGGACTCACTGCAGGGATTGAACCCAAGGGCAGTGGTTACTATCTAGCGGGCTCCCTGGCTTCTCTTCCAGGAGAATGAACACTTGCTCTGAAAAGAAACTATAGATTAAAGAAAGAAAAAAAGGAAATGATGAGGAAATAAAGAGGGAAAAAAAGAAAAAGGCACCTCCTAGCTCTTAGCGTTCCGCTGTGATAATTCTAGCCTTTTCGTCATGCATCTTAGAAATTTCCACCCTTGCAGGATGACTCCTGGGATAATCAGGGACTGTTTCCACATGGCATGTAGCTGCAGCTCATTTTCCATGGTTTCTGAGGGCACGGAGGAGAGAACAGCTGCACTCTGAAAGAAGTGAGAGAGGCAGACAATAAGAAAAGCCTCGGATAGTGTCTCGCATCAGACTGTTATGACATCACAAGGGCAGTTACCATGTCACACTAGGCAGGGGGAGAGAAATCCAAGTTCTTCAGTGGAGATACTTTCTTTACTGACTAATGTGTGCTGGTTGATTTATTCTTCTTTTGTCCAGAAACCAGTCACATTATCTTATTTAATAAATCAGGAGAAATGTTACCTATATTGAATCGATTTGCAGCAATTGGATAGTTCGCTGGACTCTAGGGCAGTAAAACTGTTGGTCTGCAAAGTTAACTGGCATCTCTTCACCATACTCTAGGAATGGAGAGCCCAGAGCTGGTGTTTTGGTCCTCGTCTTGCTTGCATCATTGTTAAGACCTTATGCTGTGATTCAGTCCAAAGTGGCTTTTTGTGGCCAAAATATAGATCCATAAAAATGGGCTCTTGACACATAAATGCAGCATTGCAGAGAGGGCAGATTAAAAATCAATTTTTTTTTTAATTTAAAAAAAATGTTTTAAAAAATTTAACTTGGATTTTTATTTAAATTAAATGCAGGTTTAAATAAACCTATTTAACATTAAATTTGAAATTGATAACCTATGTTAAGGCCTAAACTTATTATAATCTATTAAAATCATTAAATTAAATACAAAATAATATTAAGCAGTACATGTTAACTGACAAGTTTTAAAGAAATTAAAACCACTGAACTGGTGGAAATCATGGGTTAAGCACATGGAACCAGAGTTTTTCAAGTGCTAAATCAGCTTTTGCAAGCAGTAGCCTTTTCTGTGGATGCAATATTTTCTTCATTTCAGTTTATTCAGCTAGTTCAGTTCAATGACTGGTTTGTTCAAAGTTAGTAAACCAATTGGGAGTTGAAAAAGCAGTAAAACTTGTTTTCCTCTTCCAATCTATGAATAAAAATCAGGTGTGAGAGGATGAGATCTACTAGCCCTAAAATCCTGAAAGGCATAGGGCTTGTCTTCACTACAGGGGTAAATCAACCTAAATTACGCTATTCCAATTGTCTGAATAATGTAGCTGGAGTCGACATAGCTTAGGTTGACTTACCCTGGTGTCTTCACCGCACTGTGTCGATGGGAGATGCGCTAGGGTCGATTTACTTCACTCTTCTCGGGGAGGTGACCGGAGCGTGCTCTGCCGTCGATTTAGTGGGTCTTCACTAGATCTGCTAAATTGATCCCTGCTGCATTGATTGCAGCAGTGTTGATCTCCCTGTAGTGAAGACCAGCCCATTGTGACCAGAAATAATCAGTTCATTTCACAAACTACAGATGATGCTTCCTTTGTTTAATAAATTACATAGTTTTACATGTAAAACATGTGTTGATAAAACTTACTGATAGAATGTTTTTCTTATGTTTCAAGCCATTTAAGGTAGTTTTATTTAATAAAAAAATTAATATGCTGTTTTTGTGCACCTTTAATTCAATTTGAATTTCCATACGAGTAGAGCTTGCTACAAATCACTAGTAAAAAAGTAATCATCTAGCAAATAAGAAATGCATCATTTGCCATTTTCTAAGATAATAAAAATACGTAAAAATCGAGAATCTGAATAAATGTATGTTAAGTTATATAATTGCTTTAAAATGTGTATACATATATTGTATCTTCCTGATTAGCAAAAGGAAGCACCAAATTTAGTGTAAAGGCTATAGATAGTTGCAAATCAACATGTTTTAATGGTTACCAACCAATGACTCAACCTTTCTTTAGGAAAATAACTAAAAAGTACAAATGAAAAACAAGATTAAAACAGATTGTATGAAATCAAAGGTTCCTGCTTGCTGATTTAAATCAATGATTACATTGCTTTGATTTTAATCAATCCACCCTGGCTGAAGACAGTGCCCTTATAATGATAATTTCAGTTCAGCTCTTTATTAGGGGTCAAATTTATTTATGCTGTTACTCTACTGGAATCAATGTAGTTACATCATTCGGTGGTTTGCATAGATGCATAGCTTCCTGCAGCTCTCATTGGCCGGGAACGGCGAATCGCAGTCACTGGGAGCTGCGGGGGGCCATGTCTGTGAATGGTCAGCGTAAACAAAATGTCTCGCGGCCTGCCA